ATGGTATATTAAGGGTCATATTTTCAGTCACTTTTCTAATCTTACTCAGCTAATTAAAAAACTGTCATTTCAGTGCCTCCCTGGTGGCGCAAGGGGTTAAGCACAGCACTGTGACGCTGTCTGCAGCCTCTGCAGCGCAAGCACAGGGAGTTGCCCAAATGGCCTGGCGGATGCCTCTTGTCTCCCTTGCTGCTCCCCTCGGCAGTGTATTTTAGTCAGTCTGCCTGTTCTCTTCCCCACTGTGTCTCTGGTGGGCCCTCTTGTCCCCCGCACCACTGGCCTGTACCCCAGTTCTTGTATGCATAAATAAATAAATCTTAAAAAAAAACAACAAAAACCCTGTCATTTTCCCTAAAATCAGTAGCCAAATTTCATGTGTGTTTTAGTAGACCACTAGGTCTTTTAATCCTTTTAGACCTCAAAATAAATTTATAAAAACTTTTAAAATTGATTTTATGTTATATAAGGAAATAGAATTGGGAAGGATAATTCATTTTATTTAGGATTTTTGCATTTACTTGGCCATTCTAGTAGCTGATCAATGTTAAGTATACATTCGATAGTAAATAGACCTATATTAGCTAATGTAGAATCATTTGAAATATTGATTAGCTAATTTGTAATTAGCTTATTTGGTTGTAGGAAATCTGTTGTAAGCAAACCATGATGGCAAATAACCACAAATAATACAAACTGTATCTAGTTATTTTCAGACAACTTTGATCATGGTTAAGACTCATAGTTAATGAATTTTAAAATGCTGGTATTTAAAATAACTGTGTCTTATGCACACTAAAATAAACATTGAAGTCACAATGATTAATGATTGAGTTCAGTTCTTCTAACCTTTGGTTTTATAATATTTGTAAATCAGGAGCCCTAGAGTTTTAGAATTTTCATGCATTTTAATATATATCTTTCAAAGCATCTAGGAATATGTTAATAATTTCTCATATATGAGAACAAACTTGGGTCAAAGGTTTGATTTATAGTTCTCAATCTGTGATTTAAACTCTAACACATGGATTGTAGCCTCCTGAATTTTTGAAGAAAGCTTCAAAAGTAGCTGTCATTTCTTAATCTGAATATTTTGTCGGTAGAAGTTATACAAGTATGAAAGACAGATCAAACTACAAAAAATTATACTTAATATTTCAATTGGCTTCCCAATTGAAAAAAGGAACATTTCTGGAATTATCTAAAGGAACACATAATAGAGCTCATACCTTAATTTCTAGGAAGTGTATAAACTATATCCTGTTGTAGTCTAGTCTGCTTTGTTATCTGATTTATGATTTTCTTTTCTTTTTTTTGGTGAGAGACTTGGTCTGTGGCTAGCTAATCTGCCTTTAGCAAAGGCAGAAATCCGACCTTGGAGTAAATCACTTAATTTCTTTGAACCTTAGTTTTCTCATCTATAAAATAATGGTCCTGACAATACTTATTATACCAATGATATTGAGAAAATCAGATAATGTGACCTAATGGATTAGATTATCTTAATCTAATTTGGGCCTCCCTACCCTCTACAGTACAAAATATAGTCTGTATGGGACAAGCTACTTTTTATTTTCCTCTTATGGGGAGATAAGACATCTGAAAATAATACTGTCAAATTGTTTAAATCTAGTCTTATTTAAAAACTGCAGAATTGATGCATACACATTCAAGGGGTGAAACCAGAAAACTTTCCAGGCCCCTGACTCTGTGGTTTCCTACTTTGCTCATTCTTAGTTGTTACCTTCTAATCTCGCTCTCTCTTTTACACACACACACACACACACACACACACACAATCTTATTATTTAAAAAGTCCATTCTTGTGTAAAGTTTAAGGTTAAAGTTTTTCTTCTCTAAAACTGAGAAAGGAAGGTGTGTGCTTGCTTAAGCTTGCTTTTTTATACTTCCTTTTCGAGTCACTAGGGTGCCTCTGTCTCCTCCAGGGTTTGGGAACTGTGATGGGGCAGAGAGTTACAGGGTAGAAAGTTCTTTCCATCTGATACTTTTGTGAAGTGGCAGATGTGCTTTCAGCACTCGGTATTTAGCACTCACTCTCTGTGATTGTCTTGGAGAACCTCATCTTCTTATTTCTCAAGATCTGTTGAGAAAATGTACCCTTCTGATTAGGCTGTTGCATTCATCTCCCTCAGCCTCTATAAACCTAGTGGGCAACTCTCTTGGGGTTTCACTTCACATTTCCAGAAATTCCTTTGGACAGGGTGTAAGACCATTTATTCCCGGTCAATTTGCTATGCATGGGAAACACTCACTGGGGAAATCCTCAGGTTTTCTTTGGAAAACCTCTGAGTGTGAAAGACTTCTTCAAAGCATCAATCTCTGTTTAACTACCAGAGCAGTTATCTGGCCACAGCCACTGGATTTCCCAACATGAATTGGACAGCAGCTATCTGGCTGCTGGAGGATTTGTATCTGGAGGATACAAAGCAAGCTCCCACTTAGTGGCCTGCAGAAGAGACTCTCTTTCCTTAGACACGCATGAGATGGACAGGACTTGGCCACCCTGACCAAACATCCTATCTGTTCTCTGTCAGCCTGTCCAATGTTTCTCAGACTGGAAGTCACCTACTGATTTCTGAATATCACCCTTACAACTTCTGCTTTTGTGAGCTTGTACCTCACTTTATAACGTGGGACAGCCTTGGGGGCTCAGCCAAAACTGAGATTGGAAGGCTCCCATTTTTACACCTTGGTATACATGTTTGAAAGAAATGGTCAAAACAAAAAAGGTTACTCTCTTCTAACACAATTAGCAAACAGGATATCATTTCTGCACATCACAATCTCTAGCGATCCAAGAGCTGCTTTAAGGTTTGCATTTTTCTGAGCAAGGTCATCAGGTCTCAAGATGTGACAGGCTGGAGAGAGAAAGGTGATGTGCTGCCCTCAAGTGGTCTTCCAGGCTACCTGTGAATGGAGTGAAAGGAAGGACTGTGTAACAAGGTCACCTGAAACACTTTCCAGAGCTCTTTGGCATAAAGGGTGGTGAGTCCTGTTTCAAGAGCAGGGTCAAGCCTACGAATATGGATTATCATCTTTAATATCTGCGACATAAAGTGTGGCTTGGAAAATGTGGGTTATGTGCTAAAAAGTATAAAAATAGACAATAAAAAACAAATGTAATCCATTACCCAAGTTTATGTTTATGTGTGTGCGTGTGCACGTGTGTCAAAATTGGTATAATCCTTAATAACATCACACAAATTTCCCTTTTAATAAAATTTAATATCTTCCCAAAACTATCTCTTAATGGCAGCCTAGTATTCCATAATCAATTTATTTCTAAACTTTCAGATTGCTTCTAAGTTCTTTCCTACTATATGTAACCCATAATGAATAACGTGCAGTCTAAGTCTTTGCAAATAGCTCTGATTTTCTTGTAATAAATGAAAAGAAGTAGAATTATTAGGTAAAATACCTATTTACCTCTATCTAGTCTACTTATCCATCATCTGTCTATCTAATCTGCCTAAATGTGCATTGCCACATTTTCCATCAGTACTGATTTAATTCTCGCCAGCAGTGCATGAGGATGTGTGTTAGAAAAAAAATCCGTTTTCCATATCCATTTTATATTTATATAAAATATTAATAAATTTTATATAAAATAGTTATATAAAATTTTATATTTATCCATATCCATTTTATATGAAAACCTTTGTTGGGTGAAAAATATCCAGTACTGAGGATCAGAATCAGGACAGGGCCACGCTTGGAGACCTGAGGCTTAGAAGACCGCCCAGGCAGGAATCCACGAAAACCAGTCTGCTCAATTCAGTGCCTGGAGGTGTAGCTCAATTCAGTGCCTGGAGGTGTAAGTTCTCACCTGGCACCGAGGGCAACGCCCACGATGTAAAGTACTACCATCTACCAAGAAGCACGCTCAGATTTTGCATACATACAGCAAAGCAGGCCCCAAAACAGTTCAGCCTATGTCCAACTTTTCCATCCCCACCCAGGTCAATTTCCTCTCCGTCAAATGGGGATATAATCCTTGCTCTATCAGTCTCTCTGGGTTGTGATGGTGTTACAGGGCAATCTGGATATAAAATGGGTTGCCTGGCTGTGGGTCCTCACCCCTGCTTTTAAAAGGGACTTATTAATTCTCAACTGCAGGCACACACAAAAGGTTAATAAAAGATTTATTTACAAAAGAAAGGGAAAATGAAGAAATGAATAACTCAGGGAGAAAAAGAGGGAGATAAACTCATGAATGCATCCTGCCCGTTCTGCTGACCTGGAACCCCAATGGCACCCGAGGAGCCCAGAGCCATGAGGTCAAGAGAGAGACCCAAGGCCCACGTGTCTGGTTTTACACCAAACCTGGCTGCTTAACCCCCCACTCAGGTCCCAGCGATCTTCTCTTTGGTGATGATGGGATTTGATAATGGGATTTTCCAGTGTCTTGATGGCTTTGGTCTGGAGTGGGGGTGGAGTCCACAAAGCCTGTATGGCGTTTGCTCAGGACATTCCCCCCACCCCCCCCCACCAACAATGGGGCTTCCAGGAACCAACAACGTGAAGCTTTGTGGCATGCTGAGCGCAGTGCATGGGTATAGAACTGTTACTAAAGATAGAACGCGAGGGATGGTGAAAAGCAGCAGAGCAGCTCCGCCAGCCTAGTGGCCGGGGGCGGAGATGCACGCGCGCCGGGCGGGGCAAGCGGGAGGCGGCCCGGGGGACGGCCCCGCGGCTCTCGCCTGCCCCGCCCCCGCCCCGCGCCGGCCCCGCCCCGCCCCGCGCCGGCCCCGCCCCAGGCCCCGCCCCGCCCCGCCCAGCGCCCGCCCCACCCCCCGCCCAGAGCCGGCCCCGCCCCCGCGCCGGCCCCGCCCCGGGCCCCGCCCCCGCGCCGGCCCCTCCCGGATGCGCGGGCAGAGCGTCCCCGCATGGAGCCGGAGCCGAGCGCTGGGGAGGCTGCCCCGGCCGCGGCCGCGCTCTTCGCCTGGGTACGTGACTCCGCCCCTGGGCCGGGGCCGCTGGGACTTGGGGCGCACGGACGCTCGAAGCTCGCGGCCTCCGAGTGGGCGGTCTTGGACCTGGGCGTCCGAGGTTCTAGCCCGGTTCTGGGTTGGAGGACCTCGTCCTGGGGGCCGAGGCGGAGAGAGCGGGCAGGGAGGGTCCTCACGGGGGCATTCGGGAGCCTGGAGGGGCTCAGATCGGAGGCGCTGAGGCCCCGGGAGAAGAACCTGCCCGCTGAGCAGAGCGTCTGGTTCCTCGAGAGCCTTCGGGCCCGGATAGCGCCGAGGAAGCAGCGTGGAGGCTGAACGACACCCCTCCGCGAGAGGGGACCGCCCCGTCCCGGAGCCTGTGGGGCCACCTGTGCTCCCCGCCCTCCCAGTGCGGGAGGATGCAGGCCTTTCCTTAGCCCCACCCCAGCCTGGCGAGTGCATCCTTTGATGTGAGGCCTGCAGGGTTCGGCCGTGCACCTGACGGAGATCTTGGCTATTTACTGATGTTCTTCGCTGACCGACTCTTGCCTGTGCTGGGGGCGTGGGAGTCTGCGCTGGTTTGGTTTGGGGGGAGCTCGAGAGACTGGCTCACCTTTCCAGGTCGCAGCTGGGAGAGAGGATGGGCTCAGCACAGGCTGTGTGGCAGGCGTCCTACCAGATGCATGGTACCCAGCACACATAGTATCTTGTGGTTCTTCCTAGTACGTATCGCAATTGTAATGAAATGTATCATTTGTTAATGTCAGTCTCCTTGGCTAGACTGTAAGCGTCGTAAGCGTGAGCACTGTGCCTGTCTTGTTCGTGGTACCTTAGGCTTGGCACATTATAAGGTGCTCAGTAAATAACTGTTGACTAATGAATGAACTGAGAACCTTTTGGGCAGGGAAGTTCATGTTTTGGGAAAACATAAGACTGCCAGCTCTTGGGATGGGGTTGGGGGTGAGGGAAATACCACCTACATTACTATTAAAACCAGTTTGTATTGTTTAATTAAAAAACGGTTATTATTAGTGGTATCACTTGAATGTAAGGCTGCACTCTGCCAGAGCTTGGTGTGGCCTGAAACTGGCCGGTTCCCTGGGATAGAGTTGGGGATTGTCTGACTGGTGTGGGCGCTGTCTTTCACTTCCCTGGCAGGAGATTGGGGTTTCTGTGGATAGAGGAAACATCTGGCAGAAAAAGCTTTTCATAGATGGCCTTTTCCATACTGAAACAAAAGTACTATGGAACCTGACTAACCCACTGCCGTGTTAGGAGGCTGGATGGTGAATCAAAGTTGGGGGCAGGCTGGGAATCTGAGGACCCCAGGTGGGCCCTTTTTTCCATTTTTGTTTTTGGAGAGGAAACAGTTGAGACCAGAATTATACAGAAAAGCAAGAGATTTATTGATAGATAAGAGGAAGGACAAGAAAACTCTGGGAAAAGAGAGGGGTCCCAAGTGGGTAGCTGCTGAATGGTCGAAAAGCAGGAATTTATATGGGTCTAAGGACAAGGAGTGGGAGTGTTTGGCCCTTGGGTGTCTCTATGTTGTGTTTCTTGCTGATTGGTGGGGGTCTCTTAGGTTACTGAGGCTCACTGAGTTTCTTGCCATCCTGAAACTAGCTTTGGTCTGTTGCTTTAGCACTGTGTTACTGTGTTGGTGTTCTGAACGTTTCATTTTTAATTGGCTTGTGGGGAGGCACCTTGACTCCTCTGGTTCCCCATTTAGTTTGATAAATGTGTCTGAGACACCTGGGCTTGGGAGTGTTGGTGCCTTCCTGGTTCCCACTGATTGTTTCTTATTTACATTAATGAATGGACTTGGGGGCTTGGGGCACCCTGTTCCTAACTGACCACCCGTACCCATTTCCTAACTCCTCATTTAATGGTGTGTTCTTTCTGCTGCGTTATCTGTCGAGGAGTGTATTAGTTGGCTAGGGCTGCCATAACAAAATGCCACAGACTGGATGGCTTAAACAGTGAATATTTATTTTCTCACAGCTCTGGTGGTCTCCTGTAGGTCCAAGATGAAGGTGTCAGCAGGTTTAGTTTCTTCTGAAGCCTTTCTCTTTAGCTTGCGGATAGCCACCTTCTCATTGTGTACTCAGGTGGCTTTTTCTCTGCAAGGGCATTTCTGTTTCTTCTTAGGATACTAGTCATATTAGATAAGTACCCCACCTTTATCACCTTGTTTAACCTTAATTACCTTTTTAAAGGTCCTATCACCATATATAGTCATGGTCTGAGGCACCAAAATTAGGGTTTCAACAAGTGAATTGGGGTTTCAAAAACTCTGACAACCCCCAAACTGATCTGACATAGGCTATTTTTAGTCTTTGTGCACTTAATGCATTTGTATCTTTTATTGTAGAAGCAATATTGTCTTGCTTATGAGGTGCTGCGCCTCCCACCCGCCCACCTTGTAGTGAATATAATTTATATACTGGATAACTTTTCTTTTCTTTTCTTTTTTTTTTTATTTGTTTGTTTATACATGCACTGGGTACAGTCAGAAGCACGGGAGGGTGAGAGAATTCACCAGAGCCAGAGCGGGGAGCAGAGCAGGCAGAAGGACCGAAGTACACTGCTGAGAGGAGCAGCGGGTGGCAGGAGAGGTCTGCACGCCATGTGGGACCCTCCTCCGCCATGTGGGACCCTCCTCCTGTAGCTGGGGAGCAGCTGGGGATCGAACCGGCGCCGCAGAGGCCGCGGGCAGCTTCACAACCCAGCGCTCAACCGCTGCGCCACTGGGGAGGCCCTGGATAACTTTTCTAAAGTCCGTAAAATTCTGAATCTTAAATACATATGGTTGCCAGGGTTTTGGAGTAGTGATTGTGGACCTTTATTGTAGAATAATGATAGCTATATTGCCCACCAAGGGGTAATGTTTCCTTATAGGAATTATTACTATATAAACCTTAGAGTCACAAAACTTAGTACTAGGAAAGACCTTTAGGGATTTTTGCCAACCTCTTTCACTGCACAGGTGAAATAATGATGATGTGTCCTGCTTAAGGGCCCACAATCCGTAGCCAACTCTGATGATGGAAAGTCACTGCCAGTTTTTCTAGTGAGGGTGTGGAGAGAAGGGACAATAATTGGTCCCTGTGTATTTCCCACTGATATTGTTCCCACTTCCCCCTCATTATTTCTTTTCTTAGGCTCCCTAGGTAATTAGCTTTTATCAGAAGGAACTCCCATGCTAGCTCCCAAAAGGCAATGCATGGGGATTGTAGCATTGGAAGGAGAAGGCACTGTGTATGCTAAGGGTTCTTCTCATATGGAAATTGTAGTGTCTGGGGATGGGGGAATCACTAAATGTGGGTTGCGTAAGAGGCTGTAATCTCTTAAGAATGAGCCTGTGAAATCTCATCTGTTATAAGCCCTGAGATGTCAGGGTGCGAACATTAGAGATAGGTAAATGAACATCCACTGTTGTGGTTCCTATATTTTTTCACCCTTGGCTTATTTTATTTTATTCCTAGGGTGCAAATAGCTATGGGCAACTCGGCCTTGGCCATAAGGAAGATGTGCTTTTGCCCCAGCAACTGGATGAGTTCTGTAAACCTGGGTGTGTCAAGAGGATCACGGGAGGAGGGGGCCATTCTGCTGTCGTCACAGGTAACTTCCTTCAAGAGTTGATAGCCCCTCATTTTTTAATTTAGATACTTTCCCTGAAGGTGTTATAGTTCCATCTTTCAGCCTTTTGTATTTTGTAGAGGAAAACGTTAAAGGATCACATTACCATCAGAAAATCCAAGGTTGTTAGAATATGAAGAACTCCTTCTCCCAGCCGCTATACAAATGAGACTCAGGAAAACTGATTGCTTAAGATTACAAGACCAATTAGTGACTGAGTGGCAACATATATTACATTTTATAGCACATATTTTTATTTAACTTGCACATATGAAGTTTGCAATTGGACTGAATATTCCTTGAGAGCAAGAATTTCTTATTTTCTTTATTTCCCCCTCACATTACCTAGGAGAGTATTTAAAAAATAGTACAAAATGCTACAGTATGGTAAAGAGGGACTATTGCAACCTGGTAAAGAACGCGAATGCTAGAGTCAAACCTCCTGGGTTGAAATCCTGATTCTGTTATTTATTAGCTGAGTGGTGTTGGGTAAATTACTTATTGTCTCAATTTCACAGTTTCCTCTTTTATTATATATGGACAGTAATGGTGGATAAAGAGAATCAAGAGTTAATAGGGGGCCTCCCTGGTGGCGCAGGCTGTTGAGCACTGCACTGTGAAGCTGTCTGCAGCCTCTGCAGTGCGGGTTCGATCCCAGCTGGCCAGCGAGAATCCCACATGGCATAGCAGACCTCTCCTGTCTCGCCTGCTGCTCCCCTCAGCAGTGTATTTTGTCAGTCTGCCTGTTCTGTTCCCCACTCTGTCTCTGGTAAATCCTCTCACCATCCCGCACATCTGGCCTGTACCCTGCTTCTTCTATAAATAAATATATCTTAAAAAAAAAAGACTTAATAGGGCTGCATTATGACTTTTTCAGTAGTTCTTGGCATGTTTGCCTTTGTGGACCTGTTCCTCCATAAGGAAATATTTAAAATTATATTTTACAATGTTATTGATATAAAGATTAATATGATCCAGATTAGATTTAGTGTTATATATTTATCTTTATTACATTCCTCCTGCCATTTTATTTTATTTTATTTATTTATTTTTTAAAAAAGATTTATTTATTTATACAAGCACTGGGTACAGTCAGAAGAATGGGAGGGTGAGAGAATTCACCAGAGCCAGAGCGGGGAGCAGAGCAGGCAGAAGGACTGAAGTACACTGCTGAGGGGAGCAGCGGGCGGCAGGGGAGGTCTGCGCGCCATGCGGGACCCTCTTCCGGTGTCCGGGGAGCAGCCGGGGATCGAACCGGCGCTGCAGAGGCCGCGGGCAGCCTCGCAACCCAGCGATCAACCGCCGCACCACCGGGGAGGCCCCCTCCTGCCATTTTAAAAGAACTTACATTATTTTCATGGACATCTAAAAGTATTGTGGGCCCTAAAACACTGTACCTGAAGGATAAGTCAGCTTCACAAATACAGCTCTTGGAATGGTACCTGGCACATTCTAAGTGCTGAATAAATGTTGGCTTTTCTTGTCATCGTCAGTACTCACTTTGGTGATTGATTGACTGCTGCCGTTGTAGGAATTGGAGTTTCCATTTAGATATTAGACTTGAGCACCTTGGCTCTATGCCATTTGGTCAGCGGCATATTAACATGCATGGCTTGCTAATGTGGGTGGGAGAAAGTTATTGGGTCTGGGACGCCAGATAATTAGTAAAAGTCTTTTGCTCACTTTGGCAGTTGTAAATTCCCCTGTGAACACTATCACCAGAGCCTTTATACTTTGCAGATGGAGGAAGCCTTTTTGTCTGTGGCCTGAATAAGGATGGGCAACTGGGGCTTGGTCACACAGATGATGTTCTGTATTTTACCCCCTGCACATCCCTTCTCGGCTGTTCCATCCAACAGGTGGCCTGTGGCTGGGATTTCACCATTATCCTCACAGGTGAGCTCCTTCCTAAGTAAATCATTATTTCCTTGAAGGCATTGGAAGAGAATTGCATGTTAGTGGAGATGCTGGTTAAATGAAAACCCTTATTTGTTTAAAGACACATGTGAATAAATGTTCTCTGGTGATCAAGGAATTTTGTGGGATGCCTTTTGTAAGGAGAGTTTTAGCAGTAAAACTTTGGGCTGGGAAACTTACCTGAGACTGGGAAATGGACTTGAACCCCTGGGTGACTATCCCCAAATTTCATGATAGCTGTTTGCCTGGGCTGACTGGTCAGTAGTGCTAAGAGCCACTCATGGGGAATGTGATGGGGAAGTGTGAGGAAATCAGAGGTTCCCACAATAGTGATGGCAACTTTTTCACAAAGTGGGATTAAAAGAAAAGAACTTTTCAGTCCCCGTGAAGCCAGATAGCAGAATAGGATGTAGAGGGATAGGCTGTTGGCTTTGTCCATAAGGCAGATGTGTTTTTGCCCCAGAAGCTGACTTCTCCCTGGGAGAAGTTTTGATTTTCCTGTTCAGTTTGCCTTGTCTAGCTGGCCATTCTGGATTGAAAGGACAATCCAGAGTTCTCACTAGGCTCCCTCTTTGTCACTTTGCCTGGTAAGGGCATCCTCTGACTATGTCACCCTTGCCCCCAAACACTTGTGGATTCTTATGTGGATAACTCTAACCCCAAGCCTTTTAGTTTACCATCTTCCATTACTGTTTACTACATATCTTTCTTGTTTCCTTATATCTTATTCTCCACACTCCCAGTACTTTACTTCCTAGTGATATCAAAATAGTACATGTTGTCCTTGGCATGAAACAGGCCCTCTTGTCTATCTGATGAGGTCTCTCTTCTTTACAACCCTGCTAAGCTGTTACCATCTCTCTTCAGTGTATGAATTCTGTCATGCATCTTGAATTTTAAAATTATTAGAATCTAATCAATAGCTGCCATGTTTATGAAGTGCTTAATGTGGGCCTGTGTGTAGGTTATAGGGAGTTAGTACATAATACTGTTTCCTACTCATATTGTGAGAAAATTGTGAAATAATCACACCATTAGAAATCAAACTACTACTTTTTATTGATTAAAGCTATATTGGAGGACAGGATTAATTGTCATGCCTGGTAGTTCTGGTAGCATTCCTTTGACCCAAACCTATACCCCAAAACTTTAGGTCTTCCTCATAGGGAAAACTTACCTCATGTCAGCCCAGAGTGCTGAGAGGAACCAAACCGTACATATCCTTCTCCCAAAGTCACCAGTTGGTTAGGTTATTCCTTCATCCCTAGAAAGTATGGTAAAGGGCAGGGAGAAGGGAAATTCTGTCACATGGAAACATGAAAAGTGGGGGGATAACTATCACCCTGTCCCAACACCAGGCACTCAGCTGAGTGTTCTACATAGCAAATCTGTCATTAATTCAGCAGGTCTGTGTAAAACACAGCCCAGAGCCTAGTGTTTCTGTTCCTAGAGCTGTGAAAGCAGGGTTTCTGGAGAAGGTGCTAAGACACAGAACCACTCCCCCTCCACTCTCCCCACTGCTCCTTGCATTCTCTTTAATCTCTTTGGCCTTTGCCATTAACCCATTGGTCAAAGATATTTTACTTTTTAGACTTGAAATTTAAGTATTTGTATTTTGCAGAACATGGTCAAGTTCTATCATGTGGTTCCAACTCCTTTGGCCAATTAGGAGTTTCTCATGGGCCTCGAAGATGTATGGTTCCCCAGGCCATTGAGGTAAGGATGACATGTGATATTGGTCTTTAGCTTGTCCCGTGTCCGGTGAAAGGGCTTCCAGATATTATAGTTACCCCTTCTCAGAATTAAAAGCCTGGCTGTGTCCCTGAAAATCCATGCGGAAGTTCTGATCAAGAGATAAACCTCTGTTAGTTCTTAAACACATTGTAATTTTTTTTTTATTTTATTTTATTTTTTTTTATTTTATTTTTTTTTTTTTTATAGAGGCATGTTTTATTTATTTATTTGTTTGTTTGTTCGTTTGTTTTGTTTATACATGCACTGGGGACAGTCAGAAGCGCGGGAGGGTGAGAGAATTCACCAGAGCCAGAGCGGGGAGCAGAGCAGGCAGAAGGACCGAAGTACACTGCTGAGGGGAGCAGCGGGCGGCAGGAGAGGTCTGCGCACCATGTGGGACCCTCCTCCACCATGTGGGACCCTCCTCCGGTGGCCGGGGAGCAGCCGGGAATCGAACCGGCGCTGCAGAGGCTGCGGGCAGCTTGGCAACCCAGCGCTCAACCGCTGCGCCACCGGGGAGGCCCGTAATTTTTTTTTTTAAAGATTTATTCACTTATACAAGAACTGGGGTACAGGCTGGATGTGCGGGAGGGTAAGAGGATTCACCAGAGACAGAGTGGGGAACAGAACAGGCAGACTGCAGAAATACACTGCTAAGGGGAACAGTGGGCAAGACAGGAGAGGTCTGCTGTGCCATGTGGGTATCTCCACGGCTGGCCGGGATTGAACCTGCACTGCATAGACTGCGGACAGCTTCATAGTGCTGGCTCAACCGCCTGCGCCACCAGGGAGGCCCCATATTGTAATTTTTATGAAATTAAACATAGACAGTATATCTCATACAGACATTAATGACATTTTACAATTCTAAAATTAATAATGGGAATTATGTTAGAAACAAATTTAGATAGAAGCTACTTGCCTAGAGACATAAGCTATACAAATGGAATAGGCTAGTGCTGCCCAATAGAAATGTAACATGGGGCCTCCCCTGGTGGCGCAGCGGTTGAGCGCTGGGTTGCGAGGCTGCCCGCAGCCTCTGCAGCTCCAGTTTGATCCCCGGCCACCGGAGGAGGGTCCCACATGGGCGCAGACCTCTCCTGCCGCCCGCTGCTCCCCTCAGCAGTGTACTTCGGTCCTTCTGCCTGCTCTGCTCTCCCTTCTGGCTCTGGTGAATTCTCTCGCCCTCCCGCACTTCTGACTGTACCCAGTGCTTGTATAAATAAATAAATATATCTAAAAAAAAAAAAAAAAAAAGAAATGTAACATGAATCACATATGTAATTAAAAGTTTTCTAATAGTATCATTTAATAAAGTAGAAAAAAGGCAAGTGAAACATATTTAAAATAGCATATTTATTGAGCTATAATTTATATACCTTAATACCCTTTAAAATTGTAATTTATTGGTTTTTAGTCTATTCACAGAGATGTGAAGCCATCACTTTTATCTAATTTTAGAACATCTTCATCGCTAAAGGAACTGTGTACCCAGTAGCAGTCGCTTCCCATTCCTCCTCCCACTTGGTGGGATATTGTAGAGGAGTTTCTAGCATTGAAATTGGGATTAGATTTCAGAGGTCAGCAAACCTCTGGTCTCGTCTTGGTCAATAAAATTCTTTTTTTAATATAATAAATTTATTTATTTTTATACCATTATTTATTTTTCTGTAATGTTTGATTTCTCCCCTTAGGTGAAATTCCCATAAAATTCCCACCACCAAATCACCTGTGAACTATCACCATAGTCTCTTGTGCTTGGTCAATAAAGTTTTATTGGATACCGCCTCTCCCATTAATTTTTTAATTGTCTCTCACTGCTTTTATGTTACCGTGGCAGGGTAGAGTAGTGTACAGAAAATGCATGGTCTGAAAAGTCTTAAAATATTTATATCTGTCCTTTGCAGAAAACATTTTGCCACCCCCTGGACTGGGTGACCGTGATGGTCCCTCCCAGCCCCAAGAGGCATTATGATACAGTATTTTTAAAAGGTTTTTGTGTTTTAGGGATACAGATAGAGGTATGTGGATGGAAGTGTTGGGAGTTCGGTGAGTCTGAACCAATCAGACATGTGTGAGGGCCACATCACCCTTTATTTGGGCACATGTTACATAGAGTTTGGTAGGTGGATGATTCCAACCTCTCCATCTTTTTCTTTGTTTCAACAGCTCCTGAGAGAGAAGGTTGTCAGTATTGCTGCTGGACTGAGGCATGCTTTAGCTGCTACAGGTGATCATTTTGCTTTTATTTTTTAAATAGGCATGTAATAAGGAAAAACAGCTGTGTACGAAACAACTGAGAAGATGAAAATTAAACCTGCAAGCAATTCAGAGTGTTCTGTGTGCTATAGTTCTGATTGAAAGTCAGGGGTCATGTGAGAATGCCTTTAGCAGGTAGGGAGGAAGGAAATAATGTTGTCTGGCTTTTTATTATATTATGGGTATGACACTAGGCTCTTTTGATTTAACGAATGCCTCATTTAATCCTCACGGTCTTTCAATGATGCGAGTTAAATTTTTACATGTGAAGAACCTGAGGTCCGGAGAGGCTCAAGGGCTTGTCTAAGGTATTACAGGGATAAAGTCAGGAAAGGTAGAGCTGGGATCAGAATGTGGGGTGATCTGGATTCCAAGGCCCACATTCTTTGCTGTGAACTGCATTGCTAGTGGAGTTGCTTCAAGTGAGCCTGTCTCCTGTGCTGTGAGAGGGTGATGGATATAGAACTGACAGCGTGTGTGAGCTTGAGGTTGCAAAGAGGAGGAGGAGGTGGTTGCCCGTGGAAGAGCAGTGGCGCTTTTCTTCCTCCCTTTTCATTTTTCTGCTCCTGTGGGCTCAAGGACAACCCTAAATAGTGGGGGCATCTGAGGCTCAGTCGCTTGGTGAGTCTGGTTGTGGTGGAGTAGGGGGAGCCCTCGGGAGAGGAAGAGTCTGGAGCACTGTGCTGATAGCTGCCTGGTGCGTAGTGCTGATTATAGTATAAAGAAAATTAATTTTTTTATTTTGAGATAATTGTAGATTCATGTACAGTTATAAGAAATAAAATAAGACAGATCTTATGTGCTTTCCCCCCCAGTTTCTCCCAGTGGTAATACCTTGGTAGAACAATAATGCAATAGCACAATCAGGTTATCTTGATATAGTCAGGATACAGAATCTTCCATCACAAGGATCCCTGTTTTTGTTCTTTTATAGCCACACCCACTTCCTACCTGCCCCCAACCCCTACCTTCCTGGCAACCACTCTTCTACTTTGCGACAATAGTGTTGTCATTTCGAGAATGTTATATAAATGGTGTTGTACAGTATATAACCTTTTGAACTTGGTTTTTTTGCTCAATATGATTCATCCATGTTATGTCAATAATGTGCTCCTTTTTAATTTCTGAGTAGTTCCACGTTCTAGATGTGCCGCTATATGAGTCTGTTAGGGCTGCTAGAACAAAATGCCTGGGTGGCTGGGTGGCTGGGTGGCTTAAACAACTGGAATTAATTTTCTTACAGTTAAAGAGACCAAAAGTACAAAAACAAGATGTGGTGAAGGTTTGTTTTTGGTGAGGTGTGGGCCTCTCTTCCTGGCTTATAGATGACTGCCTTCTTGCTATATCCTCACTTTGTCCTTCTATATTTGGAGAGAGAGATCTGTGGTGTGGTTTCCTCTTTTATAAGGATGCGAGTTTTCTCAACTAAGGCCTCACTGTTAAAGCCCATTTAACTTTTATTAATTACCTCCTTACACCTCTAAGAACAGTCATATGGCAGTTAAGGCTTCAACTTATAAATTTTCAGGGAATACAACTCAGTCCATAACAACCACAGTTTATTTAACCAATCATCAACTGAAGGGCATCTGGTTGTTTCCAGTTTTTGGCTATTAAGAATGAAGCTATAAACATTAAGTTTTTATGGGAACATAAATTTTCATTTCTCCGGGATAAGTGCCCAGGAGTGTGATTGCTGAGTTGGTATGGTAGTGATTACACTTTTATAAACGGCTTCTCTTAGAAATTAGCAGGGCTGAGAATTGCCTATCATTGGTTTACTTCCCCCTTTCCTACCAACTTTCTGCAATGACTGGTCTGATGTTTATATTTCTGTGCAGTTACAAAGCAACAGTTTCCCTTATATGTTTGATTAGCTTAATTCTAAGTCCTTTCCTCCCTCTTTTAATCTGTAAATATTTCTGTGTGCATATTTAAAAGATAAGGGCTCTTTTTGAAAACCAGAAGGCCATCATCATACCTATAAATATCAACAATAATTTTGTAATTTCATCAAATATGTAGTCTTCATTCCCTTATTGAAAAACTTGTGTATTTTTATAGTTTGAACTCAGGATCTGAATTAGGTTTATACATTTCAGTTGGTTGATATGTATCTCAAATTTCTCTTTTAAAATATTTTTTTCTTTCAGTTTTTTTTAATTGTGAAAAGATGCATAACAAAATTGACCATCATAATCCTTGTTAAATGTATGGTTCACTGGTATTAAGTCATTCACTTTGTTGTGCAGCAATCACCACCACCCTCTTCCAGAACTTTCTTCATCTTGTAAAATATAAACTTTGTATCCACTTAATGGTAATTCTCCTTCCCTACTACCTATCAGTCCCTGTAAACTACCATTCTACTTTTTGTCTGTAAGACTGAACCTCTCATACAGTACCTCATGTAAGTGTAACTTTGCAGTATTTGTCCTTTTGTGACTTAGCATAATATCCCAAAGGTCAATATCCATGTGTAGCAAATGTCAGAATTTCTTCCTTTTTTAAGGCTTAATAATATTCCATTGTATGTATATAGCATCTTTTGCTTATCCATTTATTTATTTATTCCATTTATTTATTGATAGATCCTTGGGTTACTTCCATGTTTTAGCCATTGTGAATAATGCTATATGAATGTGGATGTACAAATATCACTTTGAGATCAATCCTGCTTTCAGTTTTCTAGAGTATTTGCCTGGAAGTAGATTCTCTGGGTCATATAGTATTTCCATTTTTAAATTTTTGAGAAACTGCCATACTGTTTCCACAATGGCTGTACCATTTTACATTCTCACCAGTAATGTACGTTTCTCCACATTCTGGCCAACACTTGTTATTTTATTTTATTAAAAAAAATAGTAATCTTAATCAGTGTGAAGTGGTATCTCAGTATGGATTTTGATGTGCATTTTCCTATGCTGAACTTCTTTTCATGTGCTTATTGGATATCTGTATTTTTTTTTTTTTTAAGAAATGTCTAGTCAAGTCTTTTCCCCATATTTTTTTTTTGGGGGGTCTTGAGTTTTAGGAGTTTTCTACATATTCTGAATATCAATCCATTCCTAGATATTTCGTCTCTTAATCTTTAAATTCCTTTTCCTCTTTTTTCCCCCCTTGCAATGTATTTATTGAAGAGATGGTAAGTTTTGTTTTATTTCAACACTGTGTTGAGTTTCACATTGTGCTCAGTTGTCATCCCTTGCATTTCATGAAGGAGGCTTGTTTATTCACAGCCTAAAGGACCATTGGTTGTAGGATACTTCCAGAGAGCAGAGCCTTACCCAACTAATTGGCTGATGAATCGTGTATACACCTATTTGATTGTAGATCATTTGCATGAGACTCAGAACATGGGTCCATGAGTTAAATTGAGTGCACATGGAATAAATTGCACTGAAATAGTGGCCATTAAGATGCTGTCTTGTAGTTACAAATACATTTTTATTTGGCAATTGGGAGTCTTTGAATTTCTCTTAATGGAAAAGGAACTGCATTAGGTGTTAGGAGAGCTGAATCCTTGTGTTTTCTCTACTACTAACTGCTTGTGTGACCTTGAGTAAGTCACACCCCCTCGTCAGAGCTACAGTTCTTTCATCTAGTAAATGCAAGGAACGGACTTGACAGTCTTCAAGGTTTGTTCCTACTCAGTCTGGAGCCTGAGTTATCCTTTCAGATTAATCATGTACACTGGTCATTCTATAAGTGGACTCTGGATGTGTGCCCTGGATTTTTTTGGAGGTGGTTTTACTATGTTGGAATTTTATTTGATTGTTCTAGATTATCCTGAAGATTAGACTTGTGATTGGCTTGCTGGCTATCCCTGTGTCCAGTCATGTCCCTTGGAGCAATACATTTGTCCATAATTTGCATGTTATTAACACAAGGAATTGGGAATCTCCTATAGCAGCGAGGGTGAAAGAGCAATCTGGTCTTATCTGGCTAAGCATTTTCTCTTTTTTTAATCTTCTGCTCCATTGGGAAGCAAGTGGTATCGTGTTCCAGTGGGGAACTGGTCTGGCATCATCTGGACGGCGGTTGTGTCCTGGGCAGTCTCTCCCCCTGTTTTTGACAGCAAAGGAGCCAAGCAGAGTGACAGGTAAGGTCCCTTATTTCTTCTGAGTTCTATATTTATGCTTACAACAGGCATGCAGAGAATGAATAAATGGAGTTCTTTCTGTCTTACTCTTTCTGTGGGTTGATCTGTTAATCTTATTGGGATTTTTTTGTGGGCCCAATAAAAGAATCCATCTTTGCTGCCAGAGTTTAGAGCCAATTCAGAGATAGATACAGGTAGGTAGAGATCAAAGTGGTAGCTCTAGAACTATTAAAAGCCAGCTTGGAAGAGATAGGACTTATTTTGGTGTTTGGAAATAATGTGGGGCAATAGCGAGCCTATAAATTCTAACTTTCAGGTTGAATGTACCCACCAGGTGCTGGAGCAGTTGCAGAGTTGGCCTTGCTAAGCTTATGCATGGCTGAGACCCCATGAGGACTCACTCCCTCTGCAGTCAGGCACATCCAAAGCCTAGAAGGACTATGCCTCACATGCCAGTACCTTTTTCCAAGAAGATAGCAGGAGTAAGTGAGGATGTAGAGAGAAGGGGCCAGGATATTCCCCTAGGGAAATCTCTTTACATGGGCACATGAGGAGTAGATAGTAAATGTTCTGCCTACATGTCTGTTGAACAGTCTTTGTTAGTCAGTTAGTCTCGAGGACTTTCTCTCTTTCACTCTGGGACTCATTCTCCCTCCCTCTCCCTTTTTCTTTTTTATTTCTTTTTTTTTTCCTTTTCTTTTTTAATTCCTCTCTTTGCCTTGCTCCTTCTCTTCCTCTTCTCGTGCTCTCTGTGGACCTTTCTATTTGTTCTTAGCACCATGTCTCCATCTCCTCTTCTCTTTATTTTCTTCTCTCATTCTCTTATTTTGTAAACCCAATTTACTGAGGGTTGACTGTAGGGGAACCTGTGCAGGAAACCTCTACTTTCTTCTAACTCAGAACAAGGGAGAAATTTTTGAGGGTTGTTGGAAGGTGAGGGGGTGGAGAGGCAGGCAATGGAAAGGGTCGAGGTGGTGTACAAGATATTGGCATCATTTTTATTTTCCCAAGTCCAAGAGGCTCTCCCCTTCAGCTGAGGGGAGGCCATGGGTTGAGTTGGGGAATTTGCTGTTTGAGAAGGGGTCACTGGATGTTGGATGGGTAGAATAGACTTGACAGTCTTCAAGGTCTGTTCCTACTTAGTCTGGAGTCTGAGTTACCCTTTCAGATTAATCATGCATATTGTGTCATTGTAGTAATTGTGACTGTCCCCTCCTCTCCTGGCCACTAGGAACCCATTGCTACCTCTCTGTTGAATGTGTGGAGACATCTGCTTTGTGCACTTCACATCCTACTTGATGGTGTGAAGTGCATTTTATTAAGAATAGTTAATTATGGGCCTCCCTGGTGGCTCAAGGGGTTAAGCACCGCACTATGAAGCAATCCACAGCCTCTGCAACACGAGTTCGATCCCCGGCTGGCCAGGGACAAACCCACATAGCAGGGCAGACCTCTCCTGTCTTGCCCGCTGCTCCCCTCAACAGTGTATTTCAGTCAGTCTGCCTGTTCTGTTTTCCACTCTGTTTCTGGTGGATCCTCTCACCCCCAACATCTCTGGCCTGTATCCTAGCTCTTGTATGCATAAATAAATAAATCTTTAAAAAAATAGTTAATTACAATAAATCTGAAGAAGAAGAAATCAAAAAAACCATCCCTTTTATTATCGAAACAAAAAAAATCAAATACTTGGGAATAAATCTAACAAAAGAGGTAAAGGACTTACACAAAGAAAACTATAAAACATTGTTAAAAGAAATAGAAGAAGACACAAAGAAATGGAAAGACATCCTCTGCTCATGGATTGGAAGAATAAACATTATTAAAATGGCCATCCTACCAAAAGCAATATACAGATTCAATGCTATTCCAATCAAAATTTCAATGTCATTCGTCAAAGAAATAGAACAATTACTGATGAAATTCATATGGAATCACAAAAACCCTGAATAGCCAAAGCTCTCCTGAAAAAAAAAGAAGGGAATGGAGGCATCACACTCCCAGACTTCAAACTATACTACAAAGCCATAATCATCAAAACTGCATGGTATTGGAACAAGAACAGACACACAGACCAATGGAATCAAATAGAAAATCCAGAAATAAACCCACAGATTTATGGTCAACTAATCTTTGACAAAGGAGCAAAGACTATGCATTGGAGCAAAGAAAGTTTGTTCAATAAATGGTGCTGGGAAAACTGGGTCGCTACATGCAAAAGAATGAAGCTTGACCACTACCTCACACCATACACAAAAATCAACTCAAAATGGATTAAAGAACTAGACATAAGACCTGAAACCATAAAATACATAGAAGGAAATATAGGCGAAACACTACGTGATATGCACATCAAAGACATCTTTACAGACACATCACCCAAAGCAGTGATAGTGAAGGCAAAGATAAACAGCTGGGACTACATCAAATTAAAGAGCTTCTGCACAGCAAAAGAGATAATAACAAAACAAAGAGAAACCCCACTGACTGGGAGAACATTTTTGCACACAACACTAATGATAAAGGACTGATCACAAAAATCTGCAAAGAGCTGATGAGACTCAACAACAACAAAGAAAATAATCCAGTCAAAAAATGGGCAGAAGAGCTAAAAAGAAACTTCTCTGAAGAGGAAATGCAAATGGCCAACAGGCATATGAAAAAATGTTCAACATCACTTGTCATCAGGGAAATGCAAATCAAAACTACCATGAGATACCATCTTACACCAGTGAGAATGGCACATATTAAAAAAACTAGCGGGCTTCCCTGGTGGCACAGCGGTTGAGCGCTGGGTTGCGAAGCTGCCCGCGGCCTCTGCCGTGCCGGTTCCATCCCCGGCTGCTCCCCGGCCACTGGCCACCGGAGGAGGGTCCCACATGGCGCGCAGACCGCTCCTGCCGCCCGCTGCTCCCCTCAGCAGTGTACTTCGGTCCTTCTGCCTGCTCTGCTCCCCGCTCTGGCTCTGGTGAATTCTCTCACCCTCCCGCGCTTCTGACTGTACCCAGTGCATGTATAAACAAACAAACAAACAAATAATAAATAAAACATGCCTCTAAAAAAAAAAACAAAAAAAAACTAGCAACAACAAATGTTGGCGAGGATGTGGAGAAAAAGGAACTCTCCTGCACTGTTGGTGGGAGTGCAAACTGGTCTAACCACTATGGAGAGCTGTGTGGAGATTTCTGGACCTACTAAACATAGAGCTTCTGTATGATCCAGCAATTCCACTCCTAGGTATTTACCGAAAGGACACAGAAACATCAATTCCAAAGAGCACCTGCACCCCTATGTTTATAGCAGCAGTGTTTACAATAGCTAAGCTTTGGAAACAACCCAAATGCCCAAAAATAGATGACTGGATCAAGAAGACGTGGTACATATACACCATGGAATATTACTCAGCATTCAAAAAAGATAAACACATGCAATTTGCAGCACCATGGATGGCGCTGGAAGGGATCATGCTCAGCGAAATAAGCCAGAAAGAAAAAGAAAAATACCGGATGGTCTCACTCATAGCAGGAATCTAGAAATCTTAAATAAGGGACCAGGAAAATGAATAACTATAAGAAAGTGAAAATCAAAATCAACAAAAAACTATGAACTAGAGACACTCTATGGGGGGTGGTGGGCGGGGAGGGGAGGGATTGGGGTCAAAATAAGGGGATTGCAGTTGTATGGGGAATATAAAAATAAAATTTATTTAAAAAATAGTTAATTAGAAGTATTAGAAGACAGGAGTTACAGAATAAACCTGCATTTCTCTGCATACTAGAACAGATCAGCACTACTTCTAGCAGAGCTGTTTTTTGGGATTATACTTTGTTGACAAAGGCAGTGTAATTAGGGAGGAAAATTGCCACATTTGGAGATGGAAGGCAGGTTCAAATTCTAGTCCTGCCTGTGTGTTGTTAAGAAGCCTGGTTTATATTTAAGCACCTGCATGTGATAGCAGCTGAATGTGTGAGATGCCATTGCTCTAGGTCTACTCAGTGGAAGGAGCTATAGAACAAAGACACATGTATTTATACACATTTATACCCGTACCTGTTTATCTCTTCTAGAAACCACACTGGTTTCTTCAATTCCAGCACAACGTCACATGATTGATTCTAGCCTTTTCTGGGTCTTTTCTTTCCTGTCTAATAGTGAGAAAACTGGTTCCTTTATCCTCAATAGATTTACTTATTTGTTTAGTCCCTTGGCATGTAATTAGTCTCTCTGCTGCCAGCCATCTTCTTGGCCAGTGCTGCTGACTCAGATCTGCCTACACTAGCTGAGAATTTCTCCCAGGCCCTGGTGGTATTGCCTGAGTCCCTTCTCTGCCAAATTTGTTCTGTTATAAATGTAATTTCAAAAGAAAAAAAAATTTTTTTGTAGGTCTAGAGAATTCTAAGGCGAAGTGTGTCCTTGCTGGCTCAGATCACTCAGCTTCATTGACAGGTGGGTACCAGCTCTTTCAGTTGAACATGCATTCAGCATTTATTACATTTATTCATAAGTGATGCTATTGGGTAAGGGAGAGAAGAGCTTAGATTTTGGAGCTAGAATTCTGATGCCATCACTGAGGCAGTTTTACCTTTCTAAGATGGTTTCCTTGACTGTAGAATACTTTGTGGGCATATTTGAGAATTAAATATGAAAATACATATAAAGCACTCACTTAGGCTAAATTTCCTTAGGCTTAAACTTAGGCTCATGTCCTTTCCTCTGGATTTGTTTTCTCCATGGTACAATAGGGGTAATACTGTCTTCCTCTCAGGATATTTGTAATTGGAAAAATCATGTAACCTTTAGTAAATTTATATAAAACATATTGTTATATTATCCATCTAATCTATTTTGGTGTGTAATATAACTATTTTCTCTAGCTCCTCAATCTCAAACTATTTTGTCCACCTATTAGAAAGATCTAATCCATTTTCTGTTCTCTCTGTACTTATCTACTCTGTTTAACCACAGAATTCTTATTTTTATTAATTTTCATCTTTGTCGCTTTCTATTATATATCCCTACATCTAGTGATATATATATATATTTCTCTAGTCTTTAATATTTGTGTATATTTCTCTGCCCTACCTCTATATTCTACTTCTTTGATTTATGATTCTCTAACCTGTTTTTCTCTCTCATACTATATCTCCCTTTTTGGCTTTGCATCCATCTGTCCATTTAGCACACCCAGCCAACACAGGGTAAACTGTTGAGTGACAATGCAGCGTGTTCTTGAAAAGGAAGGTTCTCTCTTCCAAAGGCTCTCTTTCAAAGCCCAGATTGTTCTGACCCCTGCTGGTAGCCAGGAGACAATAGCTCTGAGAGGTTTATTTTGGTAAGACTTCTCACACTGAGTTGAATGCTTTATATTTTTTTAACCAAAGGGAGATTAGTTTCACACTTAGTATTTTATGTGGATATTAAGGTGTGTGAATATGTAAAATAATGGAGGCATACATTCTTCAGCATCACATTTGCAGTGTGGTCCATCTGAGAAGTTGTTACTGTTTCCAAAATACAAGAACCATAATGTGAGAATTTAAATATTTTACACATTCTACAGATAATTTGTTATTGAATGAATTTCAGATAACCAGCTAATAAAAGAAATAGCCTACTTTTAGCCTATTAAATAGATTTATATGTATGACAGAAGTGTCGAGTTGACATGAATGCCAGTGTAAGGGACTGCCAAGGCATCTGGTCCCACTTCTCCTTTTATGGGGGAAGAACCAGAGGCCCCAAGGGCAAAAAGTGAGTAGTGCGTGCTCCACAGTAGGGGAGAGTCAGGAGAGTAAGAGTAGATTAAGAGATATTTCTACTCTGTTCAAATTAATTTGAAATGGCTGGCATTTTTGTAAATTTAGAGATTCTCTCATTGCTCGATAGTATCAAATTTCTTAAAATCTTATAATTAGTGAAGTTATATATTTCATATGTAGAGCACTTCTATTATAATTTTTTAAAATATAGATGTTAAATTTTTTGAGATGTAGTGCATATATGAAAGTCACCCTTTTAAAGTATACAATTTAATGATTTTTAGTGCATTCACAAAGTGAATTGATTTTTGAAAGTGAATTAAAATATCGTCATGATTAATATCATCCTTTGTGGTCTAGTTCAAGCTGTTACACACAGAATGTTGTTCGGTACTCTCTAGACCTTTCCTCTAGATTATGTAACTGGCATTGCAGCAGAATTTAATTTTACCTGCTGATGCAACAGTGTAATGATCCACATGTGGAAGCCCATTTGTCTTTGCAAAAAGATGGCTTAGATTTAGTAAGATAAATGAAGGCTTACTATAGACACAAGTTCAATGTCCATAGCATCTTCATAGGTAATCAGTCTGTTTATGGGTGCGACTTTTCTGAGGGCCTCCTCTGCCTACTTATAAGGAATCTGAATGCTTTGTATACCCTGGTGAAGGTCCAGGCAGTTGCCTTCTGCCAGGCTGTGAAATATACCTAATTTGCTTTATAGAGCTACACAATGTCAGTGCTGCAAGATCACTTGTGTGACAAAAAGGCCCCATTGACTTACACCCCTTTGTGTTAAAATTGAGCAAGCAAAGGTGCAGAATGTGAATTGATGTGCCTAATTTTAAACAGTGATTACGTAGCAGACTTGAACCCTGAATCTTAGTCTCATGTCCTTTAATGATACTGTTAGCCTTGTGATCAGTTTTGGAGAATATACCAGCATGCCCTAGGATGAGCAATGCTGTGAAGCTTTCTTGGGAGGTCACAAAATGCCATGGTGGGCAGATCATCTCCCTGCTAGTTCCTGCTTGACTCTTTATTATCCACTGATCTTGAAAGTCTTCTAACATCTCTGAGCCTTGCTTAATTTATCTTCTAGAATAGAATGTGAGCCATATTTCAAAAAAGTGAAACAGATGAAATCAATTTTAATATTTAACCCAATATATCTAAAATATTTCAACATGTAATAAATATTAAAATTAATGAGCTACACTTTTTTTTACATGAAGTCCATTATGTATATTTTGGTCTTACAATACATCTTGGTTTGGACTAGTTCCATTTCCAGTGTTCCCTAACTAGATATACATGCTGTGTGCTGTATAGCACTGTGTATAATCTTAGAAGGTTAGGGTCAGAAGAGCTCTTGAGATCACCCACCGGGTCACAAACTGAAACTGACAACTCAGGCCAAATTGTAGGCCTGACCCCATTTCATTTGGTTCCAGTTAAAAATGTATTTTGAACCTAAATGCCTTTTAGATGAGCATGTGCTCTCTGGTCCCTCCTCGTTCACCCATCTCTCTTGTTATATCAGTCTATTACCTGCCCTTGTGGACCAACTGCCTCCCCTTCTGTTTTTAACTGGTGAAACTAAGGCATAGAGAGGAAGTGGGTTGTCCAAGGTCAATAGCTAGTTAGCAGATCCAGGAATAGAAGCCAGAATCACTTGACTCTGAATTAGCTCTTTTTTCTATGAAATCACAATGTCAGTCACATTCCTGCTTAGATCACCGGATCATTGTGAGGTTTTAATGAGCTGAAGTGCCACACAAATGTGATGTGCTGTGTGGTGTTTGCTCCTGGGCATGGCATGTGAAATCATCTTGTGTTTAAAAGTTTAAATAATATAATTTTTAACTGATACTTTTAAAAGTGAATAGTTTCATTTTAAAAATGTCATGCAAGCATGTATTTTTTCAAATGTAGAAACTGAACATGTTTTGCACATGGTAGATGTTGGGTAAATCTTAGTTGAAGGAGTTAATGAAAAAATAAACTCATCTATTTCTATTTTTTGACAGACTAAGTTGTTTATAGAATTAAAAAATTCATATGTAGTTATACTCTAATCAATTTTGTATCCTGCTTTGCGTAAGAATATAATCACTTTTAACCACTTCTCCTCTCCCCCCTCCCCCGCCCCTAACAAGCTTGTGTTATTTTTCTATCATTTGGACTGATGTTCTTCTACTTCTTTTGTTCCCATTCTGTTTGTTTAAGATTCAGGAGAGCTGTATGTTTGGGGAAGCAACAAACATGGTCAACTGGCCTCCCAGGCTGCTTTCCTTCCTATGCCCCAGAAAATAGAAGCACAGTCTTTTCAGAATGAAAAGGTCACTGGCGTCTGGAGTGGGTGGACACACTTGGTGGCTCAGACAGGTGAGAGAGCTGGTAGATGGTAAGAGCAGCTGGGAACAGCTGTCTAAACAGCATGAATGCTCAGGGTTAAGGGGTTTGATTTTCAGTGATGAAAAGCTTCAAGGCCTGGGAAGGGGAGGATCTGGAGTCTAAGTGTGCAATCAGCCAGATATGTGCCTTCTCCTCTCTGGATCCCAGGTTTATACCCCCTCAAAAGCCATAGCTTCATTAGGTTAGCTCCCCAAGAGTCTGTGATGTTTTGAGAAGGAACCCATTGCAGCAATTATCACTCAAGAATTCGTCTGGGTTGTTGAGGGTCTTAGCTTTCTCACAGCAGAAGAGACTGTATTTGCTTTTTCACCTGAGTCTAACTAAAAGCAACTGTTAAGTTAAAAAAATATATATTTTTAAAGATTTATTTATTTAAGCATACAAGAGCTGGGGTATAGGCCAGAGGTGTGGAGGGTGAGAGGATTCACCAGAGACTGAGTTGGGAGCCGAACAGGCAGATCTACTGAAATACACTGAAATACTGCTGAGGGGAGCAGCAGGCGAGACAGGAGAGGTCTGCCTCGCCATGGATAGCTCCCTGGCTGGCTGGGGATTGAACTTGTGCTACAGAGGCTGCGGATTGCTTCATAGTGTGGTGCTTAACCCCTTGCACCATCAGGGAGGCCCCCCCCCAAAAAAAATATATTTTAATATTGAACATTATTTTGAATCATAGCTCTGCATGATACACTGACTTCAGTTTGATTGACCCTGAAACACTATGTATATCAATTCAGACACACCATACTGTATAGTCCTTCAAATGTTTCCATGTCAGGCTATACCCTCCAGCTTTTGGCATTTTTGTCTTCTCCTTGAGTCCTCTTTCATTTCTTATCTTTTCCTTTGGGCAGTTCTCCTTCATAGTCTTCAGTATCTTGACTTTGTTCTGGTGTGGGGAAGGATGGAGCAGGGGGGCAGTTGGGAAGTGCCTTTTCCTGGCCTCTGTTTGTCCCTGCCCTGCTAGGGCTCTTGCTGACTTACCCTGTTTCCAAGGACAAAAGTTTGCATTTTTATTTATTTTTGTTACCAAGATGTGTATATTGGAGCACATGCAGTTTGTATTTTTTAAGATCTATTATCATGTCAAGGCCTTCTGCACTTCATGAACCTTCAGCAGTCCCTTTGCCTGCTCTTGGTCTTCTTGTTAGTTGTACAGAGATCTCTAGACTCCCAGCTACCTGGTGATTCTTCTGGCTTTTGTAGTTTTTCAGGTCAGCTTCGGCTGTGCTTGGTAAGTTACATGTGCTACATATCTGAAGACAAACGTGGACTTACACGTGTTCATATTTATGAAGCATTTAATTGATCTCTTAAGAAATTTACCATCATTTTGGAATGATGGTAACAGCGGTGCTTAATAAACTTCCCATATTTACCGCTTCATTGGAAAATCATGGTTTTCCTCAAAGAGGTTCACACAGCTGGGAGATAGGAGCCATTTACAGAAATTTTTCCTAGAGAGATTCCCTGAGCATAGTAGCTGCTTATTTTGTGTAACTGTTCATATTTTTCTTTTCCTTCAGACAGTGAACTCTGTGAGGCAGGCACTATATCAGTCTTGCTCATGTCTGTGTTCCAATTGCCTGGCAGAGAATGTATTCCTTTCCTGCACTAAACTGTTTCTAGTTAAAAGAGACTAGACCTATTCAAGTGCATATGAGGCAGGGCAGACAGCTAGGATTTCTTTTTTCTTTTTTAAAGATTTATTTATTTATTTAATACAAGAACCGGGGTACAGGCCAGATGTGCGGGAGGGTGAGAGGACTCACCAGAGACAGAGCAGGGAACAAAACAGGCAGACTGACGAAATACAGTGCTGAGGGGAGCAGTGGGCGAGACAGGAGAGGTCTGCTGTGCCATGTGGGACCCTCGCTGGCCAGCCGGCATCGAACCAGCACTGCAGAGGCTGCGGATGGCTTCAAAGTACTGTGCTCAACCCGCTGCGCCACCAGGGGAGGCCCAGACAGCTAGGATTTCTGACCTCTTTCCTTGGATTCACTGGTTCATGAACAGCAAGCTTTAGTTGGTCTCTTTGGATCCAAGAGTGCAACAAAATCAGTTATTGTTTATTGGGAACCTATTGAGAAGTGCTGAGCCTTCTAAAAAGAGGAGAAAAGACGAGGGCCCAGCGCTCCACTAGAATGTGCAGACAGACTTAAGTCTAAGAATGTGGAGATGGAAGACTTTACCATCCGTCTGTCCATCAGACAAATGGTGAGCTCTTTTTACATGCCATGCCTTGTACTAGATAGAAATCCTGCCGTCAAGAATCCCATCGTCCATTAGGGGAGGCACAGACCTATTACCAAATTTCAGGAGTTCCAGAATAGCACATGCAACAATAGAGCTAAGTACAGAATGCAGAAGTGGCCTAGAAACTAGCTGTAGTGTGAGTAATTGGGTGCTAACAGGTAGGCGTTTCATGGTTCGTCAGTCTTCATAGAAATCTGCAGAGCAGTACGATACTTTTACTAGTGAATTTGATATGGTAGTGAGTTTGGTTGAATCTGTCAGTAAACCCTTTAACTAGTTAGGTAGCTGACTAATGAAAGACATAATCTTTGATTCTAGCTTTGAAGCATTGTAACTGATGCTGATTTCCACATCTGGGCCAACAGCCTAGCCCGCGGGGTGGGAGGTTGGAGCCCACGTCCCTGACACTGTCTGAGTCACCCAAGCGGCTCCGGAGCTCAGCTTCAGGTCTCCACCTCCAGTTGAGAGTGTGATTTTCTGGGTAATGTTTCAGCTATTTAATTAACTTGTTAATTCAGATCTCTTGTTTATGTACTTTGTTACTTTCCCCTTTCTCTGAAGTCCGGAATGGTTAAAGGCTGGGCTGTTTGAGTGTCCTGGTTGTTGTATTGAATTTTGGGTAAATGGGGGTCTCCTGCTATTTAATTTTGTGCCCGTTCTAGCAGCATTAGAAGCCTTTGCACTGGCCTACTGTCATTGAGAAGGAACACCCAGGGCTTCCCGTTTAATCAGATTCATCTGCTTTTATTAATGGGAACATGATTTGCTCACAGGGTCAGAAGCAGCTCATTAGTGGAACAAGGGGTTCTTTTCGATTCTATTTGTTTTTATAAGCTCCAGGGGTGAATTGTTCCTGTGGACCCCATCAGCACAGAGGTTGCTCTCAGTCTCATCCCGGGAGGCATTAGTTGTGTGATATTGATTTAAACAAGAGTTTATGCACAGCAATAAGCGATCATCTATCTGCCCAGTGAGATGGGGTGGTTCAGGAGAAGAGAAAGGGAGTGGACTTTACTTTTACCCTTCTCCAAAGTCCCTGTGATGGTGATTTTCAAGTGCAGGCCATTTTGTCCCCCAGAGGACATTTGCAATGTCTGGAGACATATTTGGTCATCATAGCTGGGGGTGATACTGGCATTTGTGGGATGCCACTAAACCTATTAGTCAAAGGCTGCCCCTCACCATAAAGAATTACCTAGTCCCAAATGTGAGTCATGCCAGGATTGAGAAATGCTGCCTAAGACTGACATCCCCAGCGGTTGGTGCTTAGCTCGGGCAGTTCTCATGGTATCTTGATAACTTTGGTTTGTCTGCTTAGGAATCTGGGATGTGGTCTCTGCCCTCCCTCTTCAGGAGTCTGGTGCCTGCATGCAGTGTTTGCGATGGAAAAATACTTTTCTCTGTTAGTCAGAGGCACTTGGAAAGAGTCCAAGAGAACCTGTTCTAATCTGGGAGAGTTGGCAAAGGTACCTGGGTCTCAGGCTGGTGGAGCTGCCTTCTAGAAACCTTTTCCAAGCTGCTTAATGTCCCTGTTCATTGTTCTCAGTAACTTCATGGGACTCCTGGGTGACTTTATCCTGGCTTAGTGACCTGCAGCTGTCTCATCTGAGATTCATGATTTCCTGGCCCAACGTGTGTCCAGTGAGAACAGGATGCCAGATGTGGGTGCCTTCCATTTTCTGTGACCTTGGCTAAGTTACTTCACCTGTTTAGGCCTCAACTGCTCCATTTCTCAAGTGGAATATTAAAACCTGCTTTGCGTTCCCCATAGGGTGGCTGTGAGGCCCAAGTGAACGGAGCTGTGTGAGAGATCCCAAATGATGGTAAGATATTCTCTATACATAGTGAGGGGTACCGGGGGCTGGGAAAAGAGAGTCAGTGAGAGTGTTAGCAGTTGCTTTTAGAAAGACTTCAATTTCAACAGGCTCTGTGCAGAGCTTGAGACAGACCAGCTTTGCCCCTAAGGGCTCTCAAACTTGCCAGGGATGTGATTTGCTCAAAGTTTAGCTCCGACCCGCAAAGTTTCCTAAAGTCTTTCACTTAAATGCAGTTGGCCAGTGGCCCTTTTATGTTCTCAAAGGTTTGGGAGAACTTCATGGCTGATTGGTCATTTTCCTTGTTTAAATCTGATCACACAATTGTTCTTTCAGATTCATCTCAACTTGTAACCGTATACATCTCTTTGTGTTTTTATTTGTTCAATGTCTAAACTGTAAATTCTCTGATAACTGGGTCAGTTTTGTTCATGGTTGTGTCCCCAGCACCTGGCACATAATAGATGATTAGTAACAAATTGCCACACAGATGAATAAATGGTGAGAAAGAGAGAAACATGAAGTGCAGCAGGCCTAGGTCTGACTCTCAGCTCTGTCAGCTTCCCGATTAGTGACTGGGGGCAGCTGCTCCACTTCTCTCCATCCCCACAGCCACCACTGTAGTTCAGGCCACTGTAGTTCATCCTGCAGTGGCCTCTGGCTGGCGTCTTCATGCCATCCATGCTCCCTCAATCTGTTCTCTTTACCTCAGTTGGAAGATTCCTTCAATCCCATTGTGTCACCTTCCAATGGCTTCCCATGCTGTTATGACATAGACATCACCCTTAGTGGCCTCTGCATCCCTGTGTGGCCTCTGCTCTGCATGCCTTTCCAACCCCATTTTATACTGTGCTAGCTCTTGGTCTCTAGTCGATGTTCATCCTGGCCTTTGCTTGCTAC